CTTTAGTCATTAGAATGAAACAAGTAGATTAAAATGTTACAAATTCTAAAGGAGGGATAACAAAACCATGTGAGAAGTGAGGATTAAGAGGCTATGTTTAGATAATTTGGCTTAACCAAAATTAAAAACTTAGAAAAGATAAACTTTGACACAAAAATGCGCCAGATAAAATAACAGATATAAGGAAGTACTAAATATAAAAATTTAAACGGAAAAACTCAGAAATAGGTTGGTTATGAGTAAGATATCTGAAAAAGAAGACAAATTTTTAAGTTTGGAAGCAACACTGAAGAGATAAAAAAGATGAAGAACACATGTATTTTGTTATATATGAGTTTTAAACTTGAGTATGTCAACAAGGTAAAAATAATAAACCAATTTTTTTTAAGATTGGCAAATCCTCCCAGTACATAGTTGTATGTTATTAGTTGTGGGTCCTTCTAGTTGTGGCGTGTGGGATGCTGCCTCAACATGGCCTGATGAGAGGTGCCATGTCCATGCCCAGGATCCGAACCAGGGAAACCCTGGGCCGCCGAAGCAGAGCGTGTGAACTTAACCACTTGGCCGTGGGCCCCTAAAATAAACCATTTTGACAAAGAGTTATTCTTAGAAAGATATATAGAAAAGATATATAATTTTGTACACTTGTTTATGTCTTAATTCTTATTTTAATTATTTCTTATTAAGATCCCAGTTTATAAAGTATCAGTCCAAAACAAAAACATCACCCAATATGAATTATAAATAGGCAACAAGATATAAAACAATGTCAAACCTAGCTACTATCAAAGAAAGGTAAAATAAAGAGCTATATTTTTTCACTATTAAATGACCAAAATATTAAATGATAGCATACCTATATGCCTTGATGGTGCCATTACAGAATTAAAGAGTCCTTTTTGAAAATGTGCTCTCAGCACCAAAATGAACATGTTATTTGAGCCAGTTAGTCAATTCCTGGATTTTTATTCTAAAGAATTATTTCAAGATAATAAAAAATCTATGTGTAGGAAGATGATAATCACTCCATTATTTATAGGAATAAAAAATTGTTAATCTCTTGGGGCCAGCTGTTGGAATAGTGGTTAAGTTTGCACGTTCCGCTTCAGTGGCCCAGGGTTTGCCAGTTCGGATCCCAGGCTCAGACCTACACACCGCTTGTCAAGCCATGCTGTGGCAGGTGTTCCACATATAAAGTACAGGAAAATGGGCACGGATGTTAGCTCAGGGCCAATCTCCCCATGGCCCTCCCCAAAAAATATTAACCTCAAAATAAGTGAATGTCAGTGGAATGATATGCAGCCATTAACAAAAAACTTTGTTAAGAATATATAACAGAGTTGGAGGGGTGGATTAGGGGGTGGGAGGAAAAGATGAAACAGGTATAAATATATTATTATTAAGAACTCTCATTAAGAATATGTCAGAGGTGGGGAGGTGGGAGAAATGGATGAAGGGTATAAATTTATTTAAAGTTTTTAAAAATAAAAATATTAAAAAAAAATTTACTGACATGGAACACTCAATGCCTACATCTTTGTCTGAGATGCAGAGCAACATCATTCATTCATTCATTCACTCACTCATTTAATATATGTTTATCAAACACCTCTGTTTTCATGGCACCAAAAAAAAGCCATTATTCTGTTCGAGAATCATGAGTTCTCTCCATTCAACAAGTATCTTTAAATGTCTACTGGAAACTCTGCTAGATGCTTACAAGACAGAAGAATGGAAAAGACACATGCTGTGGCCTCCAACCTTTAAAATCTAGCAGGCAAAAAAATAATTATCATACAAGGCAAAATGAGTGATGGAATATGTTTCTTACAGGTGTTGAAGAGAGAGAGTAATAGGGAGAAAGGGAGAGGGAGAGAGAATGAATGTTCTCTTTGGGACATCAGAAAAGTGCTTTACGTATTTCATCCTCCTGACAGACGTGCAAAGGTAGACATCCTTATTCACTTTTTATTAATGAGAAAATGCAAAGAGATGAAATCACCTGCCAAGTCTGCATCAATCTGCGTCTCGAGAGACTTCCTGGGGCAAAGTACTCCCTCTGCCTGCCTCCTGCCCCTCATGCCCACACAAATATTTTCATAAAGACTTATCAGGAAATAAACTTTTGTGGGGTTATGTCACTTAGTTTGGAGCTGTTTGTTACTGCAGTGTAAGCTATAAGGTACCCTCAATCAAAGGCATTCTGAGCAGAGGAAACAATCAATATAAATGTTTAAAGGAGTACATCCAGAGAGTGAGATGGTGGGAAATTTATATTGGAAAAATAAACAGAATGAAAAAGAGTATGCTATAATATAAAGTGAAAAAGTGTATACAATTTTGTATGACCACAAGGACATAAAAAACCGCAAATGACTAGAAGCTAGTATATAAAGATATTGTTTGTTAAACTGTGATGACAAAATTATGGATGATTTTCCCTTGTTTCCAAATTTTCTAAAATAACGTTGTATAGTTTTGAGAACCCCATGCATCTTCCCTGTACATTCGCTTTAGAAATGTTGGCCTGAGTGGATGAAGAACATTAAATATCTTCTATGAATTTCAGAGCATCCCTAAATTTTATAATATTGTGGACAACTATAATGACATTAGGGATAAATGGCATATCTGCCCCTCTTAAATCAGAATTGGAATAGTGATTGTGAAAGAATTTCAAAGGCACTATATCTCCTGCTGCATCATACATCTTTTCTAGATGAGTTGACCTTAAGAAAGAACGAAGTCTCTTAGGGTTAATTAAGAATTCTAAAATTGATACCTTGAAAAGTTTACTTTCTAGTGAAACCTTATTATCTGCAGGAAAGAAAGATAGCACAATTCACAGTTATACAAGTTTTATTTTAAAATGTCTTCCAGTAGCTAGTACTATAAAAGATGTGCTGTGTTTATTTCATGATGGATAGTCCTCAAAATATTGCTCTTCAGCATTATATTACCATTTTATCAAAATTCAAAGGCTGTAGAATGAAAGAATACTGTTTCACATCTTAGATTTTCGCGTTCAACATGCAGCTGTATAAACCATGCGAATTCTCACTGTAATGTCCTCCAGCAGTTTTTATGCAGATGGGAGACTATAAACGCTTTGTTACTGAAGCATAAACACACACCATGGCTTCATGACAGGGAATGACGCAGAGTCAATCTGTAGAAGCAGCCAGTGTGCTCCTCAAGTGGGAGGCAGGGAAAAGCTTCAACATAAAAGCATCGTAGAACCACATGCTTATAAGAAACACTTCCATGGGTATCCAGCTGTAACCTATCGTACGTGGAAGCTGCAGTGTTTCATTTCTTGGCTTGGATGAAGTTTATTATAAATCTCTTTGTCTCAGTTTTCCTCGATATAATGAACCAAAGGCGTGGGTGCAGTGCAGAGGGAATGTATGCTTAGACTCCACAGGAGTTATTCCATTTTGTTGTAGGAAACAAAGCTTAGAGGAGCTCATGCTGCTTTCTCTACAGAGCTGTGTCCTCTGCCATTAGCCCACAGGCTGCTCAGCCCACTAGAGACTTGTAAGGCCTTTGCTCAGCAGAGTAGTTCTTGGGGGACCTCCCACCCAGTTCTGTGTCTCCATCTTCCTCTTTTCCTGGGTGACTCAGTCCTGCTTCCTCACATCCCTGAGTATAGGCAGATCAGTAAATGGTTCCCGTCATCGAGCTCCTGGTAAAGAGAAGCAAGGTAAAGGGATCCAGAAGGAAAAATAGTTTATGTTTGCATATAGGAGGAAGTCCTATGTTTGTACATGCATGTTGATCAGAAGACTAGCATAATCCTATTGGTAAAAGCACAGTTGAAAAGACATTTTAGAAATAAATTTGTTGAAATGTTCCTCGTTCTTCTCTGCCATTCTAAGGTTAAAAGCTTGGCCATTTATTTCATTATTATGACACTAGTCTTGTAGTTAGGCTACATTCACAGTAAGCGGTTAAGGCATGTCAATTTCCAATTAGAATCATGATCTTGATGATGATTCAACTACTGGCAAATCTTCAGAGAGGTTGCTCACATGTTGCAGAATGATTTGGTTCTTGAAGACATGGATAACTCCGTGGGTCCCTCTCTTCCAACCTGGAGATCGACTTGAGATCACTACAAAATAGACATCCATACATAGTCATGATAAAGTGTATTAAATGTGATTTTAAAACACACTGAGGTATATTACAGTAAAAAAATTAATTTAAGAAAAATTTTCAAATAAAATTTAGACAACTAAATTCTTTATCCTCATTCCCAAAGCTGCTGGTCTTCCATTTTTTTCTTATTCCTGTAATGGCTCTATGACCCTCTGAGTTTTGGGAGCAGGACTGGGGACCCAATACCTTGACACCTTCTTTTACTCTCTACCCCTTTCTCCACCTACTCAGTCATGACCTAAGCACTCAGCTGCCCAAGGGCTCTTAGGATCTTCCCCCGCTGCCATGAGTCCCTTCTAATCCCTCACATATGCTGTTACATCATCTCAGCTTGTCTTCAGTGCACCTCAATCCATACCACTGAGAGAATCATCTTCCCAAAGCATATTCACTAGCATATTCAAAAAATCTCCAATAACTACACATCACACACTCCTTATGTGATATTCAAAGCCCATCATGAAGATGATACAACCAGATTCCTCAACATCTTTTGCCATTTCTTCCTCCATATACTTTTTGTTTGAACAAAAGTGTCCTTCTGCTTCTGTGCTTTTGCTCAAACTTGAATTATCCCTTAGCCCCTTCTCTCTCTGCCCCTTCAGCATCATATTTCCAAGAAACTTTCCCTAAGCTGCCAATTCTAAATACTTTGGCCAGAGGCACCATATTATAGAGCACTCACCCTTTCGTACATATTTGTGCTTGACCTGATAAAACTAAGATTTTTGCAGGTAAAAATTATGTCCCCTCCCTAAGCACCTAGCCCCGTGACTTCAACATAGTAGACACTCAAATATTTGCTAAATTCCTTATGTCTTTTTCCTTTTCTTTTCCAGTGGCACCACCCCCCTATAGTTACGACCATGAGCTGGAATACTGTGCAGACTTGCCTCCTCCGTACTCCCCGACCCCTCAGGCTTCAGCGCAGCGCTCTCCACCCCCTCCTTATCCTGGAAATTCAAGGAAATAATCCTTCTCCCAGAACAGAATATGTGCCAGTCAGAGATCTTGCCCAGAATAAATGCCTCTACTCAGAAACAGAACATCTCAGAAACAGGAAAAGATTGCTCTAAGGAATACCCTTTGGGGTCAAATACTATGTCAGGTGGAATGTCCAGGCTAAGAGATACAGGGCTTCTCCCCTACAGAGCTGACCCCATCTGGAGTATTTTGTTGGTTCAGTGGAACCACATTTGAAGAGCTCTGCTGATCAATGGAAGCACATTCAGAGAAGAGTAATGAGATAAACAAAACATCTGAAAATCATGTTGCTTAAGGAACAGATGAAGGAAGTTGCAATATTGATCCTGGAAGAGAGAAGATTTATATAAGACAGGAGAATAGCCTGGACTACATAAGAAACAGCTATATTCTGTGTTCTTTAAAAGTCAGAACTAGAATTCCCATTCTTTGGTTCAACAATAAATGCAGATTGAGTGCCTGAGGGCCTACTCTGTGCCTTCCGCTGTGTGAAGCGCTGGATGGAAACTACAAAATGGGAACTTTGGTTTTAGTATAAGAAAGAGCCATTGGAGCTTTCTTATTGACTAGATTGCTTTGTGAAGTTCTCGTTACCAAGACTTCACAGTGAACCTGGCTGACTATCTGGTAGAGAGACATGCTCTAGAAGGGATGGCTAAATCAAATGGTAGATGGGTCCATCGGGCCCCAAAAGTTCTGCTCATGTCTTAGGTAGATGTGAGGTGAATTTCTATGCCTCCCAGAATGGAAACAACAGGAATAGTTGAATCTTATCTATTTAATTTGAGAGTTAAAAGGATCAAAGGGACTCAATAGATGCTTGAAGCCAAGAACTCTTCAATGCCAGCTGCTGCCACCTAAAAATCACCTGATTTAGTGTATTATGACAAAGCTCATTCCAACTGAAAAAAATTGTATCAAGTTCCACAAGCAACAAATACTTCACTTCTGATTAAAAGATGAGAAGCCAAATATTCCCACCAGACTTTATATCAGGGAGTAAAATCTCAGAACTTGACCATGAAGATATACAGCAACTCACAAAAAGGAGAGGGGAAAAATGAAGTGTGGATTCCCTTCTGTGGAATCCCACTCACATGTAGCTTAGACAAATTTATGTTTCTCTTTTGTAACATTTTGACAATCTCTTCCCTTGAAAAAGTTATACAGTTAATGGAAAGGTTAAGATATTGACATCAAACCATTGCCTTTTGCCAAAATTGAAATTTTATGAAGTGCCTACCTTTAGGTGTAAAATCTTTTAACAAATAATTCTAATGTGCAGGCCAGCCTCAGTGGTTCAGTGGTTGGTTGGTCATGCTCCACTTCAGCAGCCCAGGTTCGGATCCCAGGCATGGACCTACACCAATGGTCAGTGGCCACACTGTGGTGGTGGCCCACATACAAAATAGAGGAAGATTTGCAACAGATGTTAGCTTGGGATGAATCTTCCTCAGCAAAAAAGAGGAGGATTGGTCATGAATGTTAGCTCAGGGCCAATCTTCCTCACCAAAAAAAAAAAAAAATAATAATAATAATAATTCTAATATGCCATATTTTGCCACAAATAACTTTAGCATTTATATTTTTATGTGGGTAATTTCATGTATTCAAAATTGTATGTTGTCAAATATTGGGAATAGATGATCAAATTTTTGTGTCACTGTGCAATTAAACCTAAAGTGTTTAATCCAACATCATCATCATAATTCAGTGAAAGCCCAAAATGATGCCAGGAATTTTGCTGACTAAAACAATCAAAAGTAATGTGTTAAGGTATAAATTATAGTTGCCATATTTGTACTTGGGAGCTTAGTAGTTAATATAAGTAGCATATCTCATTTTCAAATACATTGATCTGATGGAAATATGGTCTAACTGCCAGTGAGGTCTAAAAGCTAGATTTGTTTTGAATGACTTGCTTGATTTTTGAGCACTGATGATTTTCTTACTTACAGACACAAAGCATTCAAGAGTTCCAGTCTATTCTAGTAACTGAGATTTTAGCAAAATTTTAACAGTACATATGCTTTAATTTGTCTCTCTTCTGCAAGTGTGATCAGTCCCAGTTACACTGCAGCCAGGGTCTCTGTGACTTCCAGAATGTTGTTTGCAAATGTACCATATATTCTCTAAGAAAAATGGAGAGGGAAAGACCAGCAGAAAGTGAGTTCTCATCATCTTCGCCGTCAATGAACATTTATTGTGCACCTCTTACGTCCCGTAAAAATTACCCACATAGGAGCCATTTCAGTCCACACCATCTCTCTTCTTTGAGTCATTTTATGGCTGCCTTTGAGGCATATCACAAACCCACAGGCCGACAATAGATGAGTATTTTCACTTTTGTATTTAGGGTCACAATAGCATAAATGTGCATATTATCAGTATAGACTTTCGGAGTTCACTATTTTTGTAGATGATACATTTTGGAGGAAGATAGTATATGATGTGAAAGCTTTGAATTATGGTTATTTAAAAACTAACGTATTTCCTGTGGCCAAAGTGTTTATAATATGCAATAAAATGAAATAACTCATAACAATGGTTATATGTTGTCTTCTGTCCATTTTGTTTTACTCTCCATTCCTACCGATTTAGCCTCATTCTTCTGTATGGGAAACACAGGACTGGAGCCAGATAGACTTTATTTTGAATCCTGTCTCTTGCCTGTGTGATTTGAGGCACGACACTTCATCCCTCTAAAATTCAACTTTCTGCTCTGGAAAATGTAAATAATATAATCAGCTTCATCAGATTTTGTGAAAATTGGATGAATACATGCAAAAATTCTAACTATAGTGCCTGGCACATAGGAAATGTTCTATAAATATTAAGAAAAATAAATTAACAAAAGAATAACATAAGGATGACAGCCTCTAGAATGGCGCAATCCAACACATTAGCTACCAGCCACATATGGTTTCTTAAATTTAAATGAATTAAAATTAAACCAAATGAAAAATTCAGTTCTTTGGTCTCATTAGCCACATTTTTCTTTTCAATTTTTCCTTTTTTTATTGAAGTATGATTGACATACAACATCCTATTAGTTTCAGGTGCACGTCATAGTGATTTGGCACACAATGATCCCCACAATAAGTCTAATAATCTGTCATGATATAAAGTTATTGCAATATTACTGACTATATTCCCTAGTCCCTAGCCACATTTTACATGCTGCATAGCCTCATGTGGCTAGTGGCTACATCATTGGGCAGTGCTGCTCTAGAAAAATCCTCTATGCAAAATGCAATGAGGTAGCAAGAAGGAGATGAAGAAGAAGACACTACAGTCATCCTGTCCAGGAGAAACCAAGCTTTGTCAGTTAATTGTGATGTCCCTCACAAATACGTAAAGAGGTCATATGGAAGGAAGGCTGGGACCGGCATGAGAACCCATGAGCCATGGGAGACCCACCCAGGCTTTCCTGGCCAGGAGTGGAGAAGCTATAGCCAGAGCTGAAGGACTGATGGTGGAAGAGAGACCCAGGACCTGGCCCAGGAGCTGGTGAAACAGGGCCACAGCCTGTTCTCAGAGTCTAAGCAACTCTGCAGCTGCTCTGCTCAGCTCTAGAAGCCATTACAGGAGCATCCAGGGCCACCCATGCCTTTTTAAGATGCAACATTGAAGTGTACTCTTCCATTATTTCACAATCTTCTTCCCACCGTCAAATGAAAGCAGCACTCACCACCCATTCACACCCGCCACTCATCCACTCTACTCCCAACCTGTCCTTTTTTAGCTAAACCTATTTTACCAGCTTATGGCTATAGATGTGGTAGGGTGCAGCACACATCAGACTGTATATTGAGCCCATCAAAGAGTGGAGCTCTGGGTGCTATTTTATTTTTAACTTAGCTAAAACAACCCAACACCAGAATGCCAAAGTCACATGATCACCTTCCTCAATACCCATGGAGGCTTCTAAGGACTACCCGATTCTCAACCAGAACCTGCTTGACATGTGCAATTTTTATTTTCTGATTACAGGCCCAAACTACAAGGAATATGGCTGAACTTGTGTTAAGTTCAGTGCTGTTTTGGTGAAACTCCACTGTGTGCTGTGGTTCAGTCCAAACTGTCAGGACCTCCAGAAAGGAAAGTGACATAACTAGCTTTAAAAAGATCTCCAGGTGATTCTGATTTCCCCCCCAGCCCCCACCCCAACCTCATGCTTGCCTCTTCTGACCCATTAATGCAGAGGAAGGAACCAAGGCTTCAGAGGAAGAGTTCCTTTGGTTTCTCTCTCATTTCTGTCATCTTCTAGCTATGTGTTCTGAGCCAAGTAACTAAGCTCCCATAACCTCAGTTTTGGCCAAAATATATGAATAACGCTACCTTTCCCAGGTTGTTGCAGTGATTATAAACAGTGTATGGAGACCATCTGTCACAAAGATCCTATCTGGGTTGGTGACTCAGACAGACACAAATGAATATACCCATTCTCTTTCCAACCTTTGTGCTCCCACTAGCAAGCCTTACCACTTCTATAAGTAGGTGTATTAGTTATCCATTGCTGTGTAACAAATACCTGAAAACTTAGTGGCTTGAAACATTTATTATCTTGATTTCTATAGGTCTGGAATCTGAGCATGGCTTAGCTGGGTCCTCCAGCTCAGCAACTTTCACAGGCTGTAGTCATCTCAGTGAGCAACTGAAGGAAAATCTGCCTTCAAGCTCACTGGCGTGCATGGTTGTTGACGGGATTCCATTCCTTGCAGGCATTTGGACTGAGGGCCTCATTTACTCACTGGCTGTCGGCCAATTCCTTACCATATGGGCCTCCCCACAGGGCAACTTGAAATATGTCATCTTCCTTCCCCAGAGCAAGGAGAGCCATAGAGTGAGAGAGCAGGTTAGCAAAAGATAGTGCTGGCAAGAGGGGAGTCACAGACTTTTAAAACCTAGTCTTGGAAGTGACATCCCCTCACTTTTGCCATATCCCATTCCTTAGAATCAGATTACTAGGTCCAGCTGCACAAAAGAGGAAGGGATTACAGGAGGGCACAAATACCAGGAGGCAAAGAGCATTAGGAGCTATCTTAGTAATCAGCCTATCATAGCAGGGATATTTCATCTCATCCTCCTTAAGTTCATTATTTGGAGTTTAGGCAATTTTCCCTCTAACAGGAATGTACCAGTTCAATAGCTGAAAGATCCCAGGGCCGTGCTTGGCTATGATCAAATCGCTTTTAGCGAACAGACAGGAGTAGAATGGAGCCAGCAACTTTCCGAGGGCTGTGCTAACGGCGTAAGAGCTGCATTCCTAAGGAATATGGTAGTGAGACATACAACGTTTGTGTTTCTCATGAACTTCATTTATGAGCTTCACTAAAGCACATCTCATTTGGGCAGGAAATGAAGTATAGCACATGCCACATACCTTATAGACAAGTCTTAACATGGCCCCAGTTCTACCCTTTGTTTCAACTTCGGCCAAGAAATTTAATCTTCATCAGAAAAGAATTCCAAGACAAGTTTCCAGGTGAGTGTTCAGTGGATCAAGTTGCTACCTCACCTAATCCCGAATACCTTCACTAAAAATGGAAAACAAATCCAACGAAATGTTGGTAACTGCAGAAACATGTACTGGAATGTTTGCTTGCTCTAGAGACTTTAGGGGATAATTGGTTTAAAAAAGTTGTTTACAGTTAGACTCTTTGATGCCTATTTCTGCTCTGCTTCCCATCTTCTAGCCCAGTCAGGAGCAGTTTCTAAGTGTGTGCCACCTGCCATTTCTTAGTGTGAGGAGAAGACGTGGGAATCATTTTCTGAATCCCATTTGGTCGTGGGCGACAAGTGATTAAGACATCTCATATTGATTCCATGGCCTAAAAGATGGATAATTTAATTTTTTTCTGACTACCATCCAAAAAGAACCAAGTGATCTGATTTTCCCACTTTTGTATTTTATTATAAGTAAATGTCTCCATTATCACACATCTTGTGCATTAACTTCTCTGTTGACTCAGAACAACTTAAAAGCAGTTGAAGATTAAGGAGTCGGTGTTCCATTCTTTCTGTTTTGCCTGTGAAAATGCCTTTGGAGACCCACAACCTGGGTCTGTCACCACCACCTGAACACACAACACAAACTCCCTCATCTCCTTGCCTGGGGATGGGTGTCTTGCTTCTATGGATCTTCTGCTCATCTTTCCAGATGTAGGTAAAGGGCATGTACTCTGAGGAGGGGTCTGATAATTTCTCCAGCCAGAATTCATTTCTTCCCACCTCTGCCATTTTTGGTATCTATTTTGTACTCCTATCATATCCCTTGTCACAGATTTGTTAAATGTCTGTCAACCCCAGAAGACTGTGTAAGCTCTTTGAGAGCAAGGACAGCCTCTGGGACATTTGTAGTCCCCAGGAGGTATCTATATGATATTGGGCACATGAAACAAATGATTGAATATATTAAGTCAGCAAATCATATTTGACATTAAAGAATGTTAAAATAACTTTAAGAATTAGAGGAAGGGAGTTTATGATGAGGAGCATATTCTTAGTGGGGTCCATAATCCAAGATATGGGTCAGAGAACTGGAAAAAAGGCTATCGTTTCATAGTTTTTAACTGATGATTTATTCAATCCAGATACAGTTGGATCGTGTCATTAAGCACAGGATTAACACATGTCCATTCAAGAAAATGAGCCTGCTCATCCTGACTGACTCAGTGGGAATGAGACAAGGTGCCGGTTCGGGAGAGGCACTTTTATAATTCTTCAGATTAAAATTGAGCTTCTCGTTTTTTACATAAAAAGAATACCAAGCAAATATCAGAAAAGAATTGCCTCATAAATCACATTTCCATAGAATGAATTCTAATGTAATTTAGACTTCAAAAGCTGTGTCCAAAGGATTCACTAAAGACCGTTTGACTGAAATAAGATGCCGCAGTTTGCACGTTATCATTTCTTCAGGGTGTGTTGAAAAACCACTGCGTATCCTGAAATGAAACAGAAAAGACTAAAACTGCTGGAAATGGATAACAAAATGGCTACCAGCTTTTGTGCTATTATTATTTAATATGTACAGAGAGCAATAGTGCATTTATCCAAGTTCTGAAAAGCAGTAATACCATTGTAAAAAAAATTGATTCTCAATGAAATATCCCTAGAAATATGTTACTTTAAATCATAATAATAACAACAATAGTTTGGGGCGTTTGTTGGTGCCAGGCACTAGTCTAAGAACTTTACGTTTAAGTACATTTACCCATTCCATGGTGTAGGTATTATTATTATCACCATTTTGAAGGTTTAGAAATTGTAAATGTATCACTTCGTAGTCCTAGAAAAATATCTTTCAGTGAGAATAAACTGCTCATGCTGCAAAGAAATATATCCATATTTACTCTTTACTTGTAAGAGCTACCTATGGCGATCTTGGGACTGATTCTAGAAGCTGCCTTTCCATGGCTTGAGTTCCAAGTGGATGATTATACGTGTTTGAACAATCTTAATGACTCATATCCTTCATTTTGTCCTTTTGCTGCAATTCGTCATCCAGCCTCCACCAGTTCCAGTTTTTATGTACACCGTGGATGACAGAGAGTGAAAGGACCCTTTTATCTCTGATCCAGCACCTGGGCTCTGCAGACACGTTCACCTGATTGTCTCCCAGGTCATGACTTCACCTATACAGAAACCACATTGAATTTTCCACGGATGCCCTCTATGTCCTTTTGATCAGGACAAAAGAATGAGTCAATATTTATGGAACAGGGATGAGGAAGGAGACATATGCTAACTGTTGTGAACTTTTAACTAATTTTGAAGGGACAGTCATGAATGTTGGTAAGTATGAATGAGAACTGTAAAAATTGGTGTCTACTTTGTACATACCTCAATATCCCCGTGGAATTGGTTGTTGGTTTTCTGTTACACGTTTTTGTAGAAGCTCAAGATCTCTGCAGAATTTTAAAATAAAAATACGTATAAGCAATAAAATATTAAACTAGACAATAATCATATGTTAGAATAGTTAGGGAAGAATTTTAACATGAGAAAAAGGCAATAATAGTCTTCCTGATGATTCTGCATAAATAGCAGAGTTCTATAGTAATCAAGGAATAAAATAGTTTTTGCCCAGCACAAAGTTATATATGCATGAATGTCAAAATTAAAATATTTATGAAGTCTGTGTTTCTGCAGGTCACAACAATCTAATAAATGATATTTCTCCATCTTGGGGCTCATTTGCTACTGTAGGATTTCTAGACTTCTGCAAAGTAAAATCTATTACATTTGGGTGTCCTCAGAGGTTTTTTTTTTTTTTTTTTTTTTTTGGTGAAGAAGATTGGCCTGGAGCTAACATCTGTTGCCAGTCTTCCTCTTTTTGCTTGCGGAAGAGTGTCACTGAGTTAACATCCATGCCAATCTTGCTCTATTTTGTATGTGGGATGTCGCCACAGCATGGGTTGATGAGTGATATGTAGGTCCACGCCCAGGATCTGAACCTGCAAACCCCAAGCTGCCAAAACGGAGCAGGCAAACTTAACCCTTATGTCACCGGGATGGCCCCATCAGAGGGTATTTTTATGGCCTCTCAGTTAGCAGGTTGCATCTTCTAGTTTCTTTCTCTCCAGCTCCTCTTTAGTGATGTTATTGGTTGGACATTTGCCAACCACTAGATTGCATGAGCATCATTTGGCATGCCATGCTGCTGAGGTCCACTTGAAGATCTCTAAATTGGTTTGCTGTGCCCAGCCACCAATATCGCTGCTATGGCAGGGGGTTGTAGGTTGCAGCATCACTGCCTACTATTGCAGTGGCAGCAATAGTATCACGGAGAATGATCATGGTGCTGTGTCTGCCTCTGGCTGTTGTTGGAAGCTGTTGGCCCCAGATGCCATCAGAGTTAGGACACACACACCCTGAGGCCTGAGCCACTGAAAGGGTAGAGTCTCCAATATACTGGAGCTTCCCATAGTCTCTCCATCCCTCAACAAGCTAAGAAAATGTTGCATTCTGAGCTAAATGGAAAAATGCCTCTTTTTCTTTTACTGAAGGCATTAGGCTTAAAGCAGCAATACTTTATGTTCCCAAAATCTCAGGGGCTATTTTGTATAAACAGTTCTTCCAACTTTGACCTAATAGCCTCTCCTCTCCCTCAAACTTAGACATGGATCTATAAGGAAAGCACATTAGCCAAATTCTAGTGATAGACATTGTGCTTTTATTATTAAATATATATATTACTCTCCACTGAAGACTGGGATATTTTTATGGGAACATAATTCTGGCTGTTTCCTCCCTTCGGATGAACCTTGCTCAGGAGACTTCATAGTCCCTCATGCAAATAAAATCTTGGTGGACCTGCTCCATCACTCAGTCTTTTGGAAATGCCAGGAGTGAATATTTTAAGCTCAACATGGGCACTGCTTTCTGCACTACATACAAAATACAATGATTTCAATGACTAACCCATTTCTCCCAGTAAAGAATAAGCAGCTGTAAGGTAGTACTTAGCTGAAACTATTGTTAGCCAAATTCAAATGAATTAAGAGAATAACTTATCAAACTCTTTAGATAAACTCATTATTTATTTGAATTTTTATGAGAATTGACTGTCATTTTGGCCATCTGTAGACAAATTCTTAAAGATATGTCAGTAGAAGTCAAAATAAAGGCTGATTGTCTCAAATGATTTTTGAGTAAATATATGGCATGACATAAGATACCTAAAAGTGTTGGATGATGCCTGGGCACTGCAGGCGCTCAGTGAAAGTAAATATTGAATTTGTTGTTGAATGTGTTTTACAGAGCTACAAACTAGGGCATAAGATGTAGTCATTCGAATTCTCTAATAAGAGAAGAGTAAAGTTAGATTTAAGCCCAAAGTTCTTAAATTCGACATGATCATCTCAAGAAACTATCTCCCTCGCCCTCTACTGCTTTCCTATACTGCCTTCACTAACAGGCATGATTCACAATGAGAAGTGGTACCCCCACCACCACCCAGGCCAGGGGGGTCTTTGGAACAGTGTGGTAGCATTTTGGTTGACACAATGCCTAAGAAGATGCTACTAGCATTTAGTGCACCACAAAAGACAATCATGTAAAGTACAGAATTTTCCTGCCCAAATTGCCACATGGGCCAACATTTTCCCCAAGATTTTGCTCCTTTAAGTACCTCAGAGTCAATCCAAAAGATAAAAATCCATAATTAAAGGAAGGCATTAATTTTGAAATGCTTCCAATATTTAATGACCCTAACACATGCCATTAGCCATGAATGGCTCAGCCGACTGCACTGGTCGGAGGAACAAGGGAGTATTCATAAATGTTCCACCTCCATTCTCTTTTTTGAACATCAGAGGCCAGTGCTTAAATAGCAATAATATCTCAAGGAGTGTTTTGGCCTCTCTCGCTGCGGTTTTGCTTCGACAGCTATGTTTTACCCAAATAATGGCCACGTGTCACTGCCTCCCCGGGATGGATGCAAATATCCATTGTTCAAATCAGGATATATTTTTACCTGACAGCAACCTGCATTCTATTCAGAGCGAAGCTGCATTTTATTGTTGGTGAAGAGGCAAGTGGTAACTTGTGGACACACAAGTTGTTGGTGTATGAATAATTGATATTGAACATAAGTCCGTTTTATGGTCTCCATTCTGTAGGAGAAAATCCAATCAGGCAGCACTGTTTTCATGTCACCAGGCTTGAAGTATGTCTTTGGAAATAAAAACATTGGCTTTTTACACGTCCTGAGCATGGATTTAAGTAAGTCAGGCCCTGTAACTGGGAGATAACACTAAAATTAAAATATTAGAGGCAACATTTCTACTTATATTAAGGAAAATAAAACAGAAAATTACTAAAATGGGCCAATTGATATAATGACATCTCCGGGCTTAAGTTTAAAAAATAAAATAAGTTTGGTAGAAAGGAGATGATAACCTCTTCCTGGAAGTTACCAGAAATTAGGCCTGATACATTTGGAGACACAGTCTTTAGAATCATTTTCATTCACTTATTCATTTGTGCATTATGGCTTTTATTCAATAAACAGATTTTTATTGAGGACCTATTTTGTAGTCAGGCACTAAATGCTGGTTTGACAGCAATGAACAAAATGGACATGCTCCCTTGACTCAGAGACTACAGTAATCTCTATATAGGATACATGAAAAATAAAAACTCACTACAAAATTAATTGATAGAATTCAGTTGTAGGAAGAGCTACGAAGACATGTCACTTCAAAATGCAACCTTAGAGGTCATTAAGCTTGATTTTCTTACCTCAACGGTGGGAATGCTGAATGGTGAGAAGTGAAGGGACTGAGCCGAACATAGACAGAGGAAGCAGCAGGCCTGGGACTCAGACCAGTTAACATAGATGAAATAAATGGGATCTTCATCTACACACATAAGGTTGACAGGACTACAAAAAGGCAAAATACAGCTGTGTATGTGCTTTAGCGAAAATCAGACTCATAGCTCATGTCATCTAAAGATTCTTCCTTAAGAACAATTGTCTTCTAAACCTGAGAGTTCTCCTTTTTCATTGTTTTAATGTGACCAACATTGACTGTTTTCATTCGGTTTTATTTACTAAGCTTATTGCTCATGTATCTATGGTTTGTTTGGGTGGTTGGTTTCAGCAAGGCTCAACTACTTTACAGTTGTAAAAAGCCCTTTAGAGAAGCCAATCTGAAAAGGCTGCACTCTCTATGTATCCAACTATATGACATTATGGAAAAGGCAAAACTATGGAGATACTGAAAGAATCAGTGGTTGCCAGAGGTCAGGAGGGAGGGAGAGATGAATAGGCTGAGCCCAGGATTTTTAGGGCAGTGAAACTACCCTGTATGGCAGTATAATGGTGGATTGAAGGCATTATACATCTGTCCAAACCCACAGAACGTACAGCACGAAAAGTGAACCCTAATGTGAACTATGGGTGATAATGAACTGGGTGATAATGATGTGTCAATGTAGGTTCATCAATTGCAACAGATGTACCACTCTGGTGCAGGATTTTGACAGCGGGAGAGGTTATGCATGTGTGGGGGTAGGCGGCAAATGGGAAATCTCTGTACCTTCAGCTCAATTTTTCTGTGAACCTAAAACTGCTCTGAAAAATAAAGTCTGTTTTTTAAAAAGCCTTTGTAAAGACATAAACATCAGTTTAGTAAACAAGCAGGAGACGAGTAGTGCCCCCTCGTCCTGCTTCTGCTAATATTCCTTCGTTCGTCCAACAGATATTGACTGTGTAGCCACTACGCGTCAGTCATGATTCTAGGTGTTAGAATTTACCAGGGACAAAAACTCCCTGGAGCTTCATTCTAATGTGGGAGAAAGACAGAAAATAAAAACAAATCCATAGTGTATCAATTGTAGGAAAGCTCTGAAAAAAATAAGGAAGGTAAAAAGATAGAGGATGACAGATTTGGAGAATGAAGGGCTTTGTGTTTGATAGGAAGATGAGGGGTATCTTGATTCAGTGCCAAGAAAACTTAAAGCATAGAGGGGTGAGGCTTGCAAATATCTAGGCAAGAGTGTACCAGGAAGAGGGAACAGAGAAAGTTAAAAGCATGAGATGGGAGAACACTCAATCTATTTGAGGAAGAGCTAGGAGGCCATTGTAGCTGAAGCAGAGGGAGCGAACGGAAGATTAGGTCGCGTGAGTACCAGAATAGATAGGGTAAAGTCTTGTAAGCCATGGTAAGGATTTTGGGTCTCATTCTGAGAGAAATGGGGAGTCACTGGAAGACTGTGAGGCAGACATATACGTAGTGGCACTATAATGTAAACGTTTAACTCAAATGGCAAAATTGTGTAATACATATCCGTTCACTGTAGTATTTAACACTTGCATATTACTCTTTGGATTTCAAAGCGCTTTCATCCATGTCATGGCATTTTTATCCTCACAGGGATGCTTAGTGGTGCAGTGTGACGGAGAGCTGTGAAACAGAGACATACGGGTTAAGGCAAACACGCAAATATGCAGCCCGAGACCATTTCAGATTAAGCCACAGTTATCTGACCCTTCATAGAAGCATTAGTTTATCAGCACAGGGCTTCATCTAGCACATCTCTAATGAATATTCAAAGCCTGTAGAAGAAATAGAAAATTTTGGAAATTGGGTCACTGCCGTGGATCTCGAGGAAGCTGGAGCAAAGTTGGGTTGTTGGGTAGCAACTCTTGTAGAGAGGTGGTACTGGAATAAAATTAGGAGTACTTCAAAGTGGGGAGTTATGGTTCCCTGAAGCTTTTTTGTACTTCAAAATGTCCCCTAATGCCTGGAGAACACTGGTCAAGACCTATCCAGCCCTTCTAGCCTGCCCAGCAGAGGCACACTCAGAAATAAAACTTCCCATCTCAAGATTGGGTCTCAAAAACTCACTCTCATTTTAAAAAGCCCTTCGTTCTTCCCTCTGAAATATTCTGCTACCCTATTTGTTGTTTCCTGGACTGGAGAATTAGGTTCTTTGTGTGGTTCTGTCTGTGCTTCTGAATGTTTATCCCTATAATACTACACAAAAATACACAGTCAATTTTATTCATTTTATGGCCAGTGGATAGAGACAAGAATGGTTGTGTCAGATAACTAAAAGTGTATGAGGACTGCTAAGTCCTTGGTTCTTAGGAATGTTCTTATGGAATGTTTTACCACTTTTCTGCCAGAACTGACATGTAACATGGGGCCTTTTGCTTCCTAAAGGTAATGCAATTTGTGGGGTATATTTAATATCCTTTGTGCCTGCCTTTGGGCAGATATAAAGTAAAAATGGGAAATATTATTTTACTATTCTTTCCCTTTAAAATGAATTTAAGGAGGGTGTACACTTCCAAAAGTAGAAATTTTTAGTGTCTTGCTATGAATTTCCAATAGTCTCTACATTTCCAATGATGAGCAGCTTGGTGTGTGTGTCTGATGTTCATTTAAGCATTCACAATAGCAGATGGATGTGGAGGTGCTGTCAAAATCTAGAGAACTCATCATATATTTATGAATATAAATCATTGTTCATCCCCAAATTAGTCAATTACAAAATAAAATTTACAAACCAATCAAATGTCTCATGTCAATTACCAGATTTTAATCCCATATCTACATAAAACATTCAAAGGAAGACCTCAAATTTGAAAATAGACACAGTGTTTCTCGTTATAAGATTAGCATTTTCCCTGACTGAATAATTCATGGCATTTTCCAGCTTTCTCTCAAAGCTATCCGTATAAGATGAGTCAAAGGAAAGGAGATAAATGTGGACATTTTAAAGAAAACTGCTATCTGTGTAATCAAACCTCTTTTTCTGAAATAACAATGCGGTCTCGTAACTCAGAGCCAAAACATGATAATTTAGGGGTTGAATGATTATATTCTAATGAAGTAATGCCATTTGATTTCTGACTTTTTAAATTTCCCATTTTATATTTCTGAGTGGCATGACGGAATACACAAGCTCTTCAATATATAGAGAATGAAAATTAGTTGAACTCAATATTGAAATTACCAAATCACCCAATTTCCTAAGATGTAGCTGATGAAAAATAGAATATTGTAATTTTCCTGAAAAGAGGGAAGAGGGTAAGAAAGGCATCTGAAAAGCTCTGAAATGCCATATATATATATATAAAGCTCTAACGTCTATAACAAATTACACACACATCTCTCTATATATAGATATGTATATTTATATACACACACACATCCTATGGTTCTGTTTTCTGGAAAACCCTCACCAATATATTATTTCATGTTGTTGTTAGGAGGATGAAAGGAGAAGTTCCATACACTGCTAAAATATTGTAAGTGTTCAACAAATTTTGGGTTCTTACTCCATTACCTCCACCTCAAAAAAGTTACAGGGAGTCCACTCATGGGGCAGTTCTAAAAGCAAATTGGCTTTGTCCCTTGGGGCTTTGTAGGTGAATCAGGGAAGTGGGTAGAAGGAGAGAAAGTCACAAGGGATGGACACTCCTACAGGAGCTGCCTGGGACAAAAAAATTAAAGTCTGGTGTATCATTAGCTGTCATTCGGCCCAGATCCAATCCAAAGCTGGGTCTCACTCCACCAGAGGAGAGGGCCCTATGCCCAGCTAAAGTCATTATCTTTTAAATGAGAGCTGTGGGCCTGGTTTCTGGAAACCATCTCACATCAAACCCGGAATCAAACTGTGTTTCGCTTGGGCTTGGGCCTCTAAAAAGCAAGTGGAGAAAAAGGATTCAAAAATAACTCCATCAGAAGAAGCACTATAAAGTGAGGCTAAGGTTTTTCTTTGTCACTGAATGTGATAAAAAATAATGCAATACCTTAATACCATCACTGCTTTTTATCAGAATTTCTAAGGGAGAAGCTTAAACCAAAATCAGTCAGCAACAGAGTTGACCTATTCTCATAAGGTAAATTGATAGAGTCTTATTTCTCAATGACCAACACACATTTCACTCTCTCATCTCTCTCTGGAACCCCCGACAACCTTCTATTATGGGCTAAACTGATTTCACCTGGGAAGATGCTGAATTTTATGATCACTGCTTAATAAAACACAATCACAAACTTCCACAGTCAAATTAAACCAATTCAAGATTTCAGAATTGTGGTGGCTTTCTTAATGTGTTGCAAATCTACTTCCAAAGATATGATTGTAGTAAAGATGTAGGGTATATTTGCATTCGTGCCTTATTAGGATGCAAATTGGGCAGATCTTCCTAGAGAGCAGTTTGGCAACATATGCCAAAATGCAAAATATGTATGTCTTTTGACTCCATGTTTTCACTCTGAGGAAATGATCTAAAAGATATAATAGGACAAATGTACAAAGATGCATGCACGAGAATCATAACTGCAGCGATGAATATAACATATAATAACATGACTATAATTATACATCAATAAGGCTAAATGCATAAGGATCATCCACACAATGAAATACTCTGCAGCCACAAGTGAATCACGCAAAACTATTTCACGTTCATGGTATGTTAAGCAGAAAAAGGAAGATTTAGAGTGTGTTTCCATTTTGCTTTTAACAAAAATATTATCTATATATAAAATCCAGAAGAATATATACAAAAGATTAAAAATTGTTATCTCTGAGTTGTTAGATGAAAGAGTATTATTATTTCTTTTTCTTTTATTACTTTCAGGATAAATAGTCCATTGATTTTTATAATCAGGAAACTAGTAATTTAAATTTTTAGCTATAGATAAACTAATAAATACTTTAATTAATAAATTAAATAAGAATTTGTTAACTAATTCACTTGTTTATTAAATAACAATTTAATAAATAAATTTGTTAAATTAATAAAATATTTGTTTTCACACATTTAAGGAAATTTTTTGATGTTCAGAGCTTCAGAAAATTGCTCAATAATTCTTAATGTAAGGCATAAGCAGAAGGGGTTTTTTTTCAGATTCAAACAAA